GCAATGTGGCAGGATCACTTAAAGTCATAGATCTACAGTCATGGCTGTCTGATCAACTGCAACGTCTTATTCATCAGGATTAGTACAAATAAACCCAACTATAGTTTATCATATAATTTTGTCTTATTATTCAAAATACCATGAAAACATTTGATTAAAGTTGAGAGGGATGGGTGACAGAATGAATGAGAGGGTGGAGATGCAAAGTGATTGAGAGAAATATTACAACACTATGTACAACAAAGACAATGACAAGACATACTACATATATCACAGCATTTACATCCAATAACTTCATTTGATGTTATTTCAAAGCCAAAGTCTTTCAATAGGGCATATCTGCGACAGATTTGATTATTATTGCCGTAAGATATGTCCTTCAACAATATCAAAAAGAATAGGCAGGCATTGGTAACAAACGGACTTCCCAAAACCAGTTGGAAGCAGTGGCGGATCTGGGTTCAAGTTAATGGTAGGGCCAGGAAGTGGGTGTGTCCACTTTTCAACCAGTTGTTTTATGGTTATGCATCTTTTGGCCATTTTTATGATGAGTTTCAACAATTTCCTCATCTATGCAGTGCTTAGAATGCTCTTAAAGCACTTGTAGGTACTCTGGTATGGCTTGTGGTTGGCTTTATCAAAACTTGAGGCAGGGAATTGTTTACATTGCATCTAATGAATCTCATTACTGACTTCTGATGCCCGGGCCATGGCCCGTCTAGGCCCGGGCCCAGATCCGCCACTGGTTGGAAGAGACACAAAAACGTCATGACCTTGAGCAAACTTCATCAGCACATCTACCTGTTCTTCTTTCAACACTAAATAACCTATCCGTCTGGCAGCTTCTCTGATCTGATCTCTTAGACTTGCTCTTAGAATTCTCTCCGCTATTTTTATACTTCTGGTCACGCAATTGTCACATGACTTTGGCTAAACCACGTGGGTCAAGGAATCTGATTGGGACGCTAACATTCCAGCGCTATGCTACAGAAAGGTCTAGTTTGTCCCCAGACCCTTCCTCCTCTCTCGGAAGGGGCTGGGCCGAGACTAAAAAGTATGTTAAGTATTTTTGGGCTACCATATCTTTAAAAAGAAGATGATTAGAGCAATTCTTCTCATATTAATGAAAGATGAGGCTTTGCTTTATTGTTTTATCTGCCCAGTTGCTCTTTTACTCACACTATGAAAAAGTTGTCGGGGAACCGACCTACGTTTTGCGACTTTTCCAGCTTCTTACTCCAAAGAAAAGAAAAATATAGCATTCCCAAGACGGAGAATAACTTTTTCTAGAGCCAGTGTTGATTATAAGACTCTCCAGGACTAGACAAGAAAGCAGTGTCAGCTCAAAAGTGGAGGCCAAGTGAACACACACAGACAGGACGACTGCTTTACAGGATGTGCCCATAGATATTATAGACTACGTAACCGGGATTAGAAACTGATGACGTCACATGTACAGACTGTGTGATTATTAATGCATGAAATTGCATGAATTTGCATCAAAATGGTGAAAATCATGAAGAATTGTTATGTTTGATGAGCTGTATTAATTTTCTACTGTGATTTAGCTGGTTCTAAATAGCTTATTCTCATGAAGAAAACACCGGAGATCATGATGATGCCTTTCTCTTCGTGTCTCTATGCTTAGTTCGCTCGGGAGAGGTACAACAGATCGGCCGCTTTTTGGCGTTATTTTGGTGGATTTCTGCTCTCAGTGATATAGCAGGCAGAACTAACCAGTCTATTCTCATGTAGCATGGCCTTGTGCATAGTTTTAATCATAAAATGAAACTGGGGTAGCTAAAGCTTGTTTGCAGGAGGGAGAATAAGACATTATCTCTTGTCACGGGGAGCGCACTTGCTTTAAACACTTGTTTTTACACAGCCAAAACATTTTATTTTTGTATCAAAGAAAAATATAAACATGTGAGTATATTATAAGAGCCCAAGTACAGGTGAAATAGCTTGCGGGATTTCACTAGAGACCATTCTTTCCAGCCATGTCAGGGATTTTTGTCCGCCTCTCACTGTCACAGAGACTGTACCTGAATAA